CCTCAGGCTTCGCAGTATATTGTGCAAGACTGGTGGTGGGGTGGGTTATTAGACACACACACCCTTTGCCAGAACAAATTCCTCAGTCATGTGAGGGCTTCCCAAATTTTTTACTGCAAAACACTTGAAGTAAAAGGAACACAAAGAAAATGGGAATGAATCAAAAAGGTTGACAGAAGGGAGAGAAGGAGAAGAAAAATAAACTTAGCAATAGCAAGTACATTTCCATACTGCTTATCAGTCAACTTAAGCACTCCCTAAGCAGTTTACAATGTGTAAGCTAATTGCCCCCAACAAGCTGGGTACTCTGACCTCAGAAGGATGCAAGTCTGAGTCAAGCCTGAGCCCCTTGGCTGATACTGAACTTGCAACCTTATGGTTTGTGATTGAGTAGCTGCAGTACAGACATTTAACCACTTCACCACCAGAGCTCTTAGTCTATCTTTAGGATATTTAGAATCATAGAGGTTGCATCTACACTGCAGAAATAATCCAGTTTGACCCCACTTGAACTACCATGGTTGAGTGCTATGGAATTCTGGGATTTGTATTTTGTGAGACATTTAGCTTTCTCTGTCAGAAAGCTCTTATGGCACAAGAAACTATAATTTCCAGAATCCCCATAGCATTGAGCCATGGCAGTTAAAGTGGCATCAAACAGGATTATTTCTTTAGTGATGCAGCTAGAATTATAGAGTTTGGAAGGGGCCACAAGGGAAATCTAGTTGAAATCCCTGCTATGCAAGAATACACAACTAAAGTACTTCAGAAAAATAACTTTTCTCCATTTAAAGACTTCCAAAGATGGAGAATCCACCACTATCTGGAATCAAGCTGCTCTTACAGTAAAAAAAAAAAAAAAGAGAGAGAGAGAGAGAAAGAAAGAAAGAAAGAAAGAAAGAAAGAAAGAAAGAAAGAAAGAAAAGAAAAAAGTGCTTTCTAATGGTTAGGTGGAATCTCTTTTCTAGTAACATGAATCCAATGGTTCATATTCTAGTTTCTGGAGCAGCAGAAAACAAACTGGCTCCATCTTCTACATTAAACTTCTTAATATAATTAAAGATAGCTATC